CATTCCCTTAATAAATTAAGACTTATACTTCACCTGACATTTCAAAAGGATAACGAAGACCTGATCTTTGGGATATTCACAGATTCAGTTCACAATGATCCCATCCACACCTTTTCCAAGTGGAAATATTAACCTGCTTCCCCTCTTTTCTTCCTGACCCTGAAGCATTTACTTAAAAAGGGAGGAGGAAGTGGGAGGAGCCTGTCTTCCTGATCTCAGTTTAATTCTCTGTCAGATCAATTTATTTCCCGGTTCAACCCTGGTTATTGCCCTTGCTGTGGCCCTTCTCCTGTGCAGACCTTGGGAGGGAGTAGTGTTCAAGCCTCAACACTGAGGACACCAACAAGTGGGCACAGCAAAGCAGCGAGAAGTGTGGAAGACCGCACACTTGGGGCCAATAGGCCTGCATCTTCCTGGCTCTGCAAACTCCAGGAAGTCTGTGCCTTCAACGCCTGCTTATTACGAGTGGATGGTGTGCCTCCTCTGCGGGGTCCACCATGACTGAAAGTGAAGTGAAAGTGTTAGTTGATCAGTCGTGTCTGACTCTTTACGACCCTATGGACTGTCGCTTGCCAGGCTCCTCTGTCCATGGTATTCTCCAGGCAAGAATACTGGAGTGGGTTGCCAGTCTCTTCTCTAGGATTCAGTTCAGTTCAGTTCAGTCACTCAGTCGTGTCCGACTCTTTGCGACCCCATGAACCGCAGCATGCCAGGCCAGTCCATCACCAGCTCCCGGAGTCGACCCAAACCCATGTCCATTGTGTCAGTGATGCCATCTAACCATCTTGTCCTCTGTGGTCCCCTTCAAAAGCATTGATTCTTTGGTGTTCAACTCTTACATAATACATGACTACTGGAAAAACTATAGCTTTGAGTATATGGACCTTTGTCAGCAAAGTGATGTCTCTGCTTTTTAATATGCTTACCAGGTTTGTCTTAGCTTTCTTTCCAAGGTGCAAGCATCTTATAACGGAATATTAATGTTCCCAAGTGGATTGGCCTAAGCAGGAGATGCTGGTTTGATTCCTGGGTCAGGAAGATACCCTGGAGAAGGGATAGGCTACCCACTTCAGTATTCATTGGCTTCCGTGGTGGCTCAGCTGGTAAAAAGTCTGCCTGCAATGCGGGAAAGCTGGGTTTAATCCCTGGGTTGGGAAGATCCCCTTGAGGAGGGCATGGCAACCCACTCCAATATTCTTGCCTGGGGGAATCACCAAGGACAGAGAGTCTGGTGGGCTAGAGTCCATGGGGTCAACAAAGGGTTGGACATGACTGAGTGATCAAGCACACACAGAAGAAATAAATCCACCATGGCCAAATAGGTTCTCAGTGTTGCAGGAACAGGCATTCTCCACACAGTGGGGATGTTATAGTCTGTGAAGTGTGAAGATGCTTTCTAACAAGATTTGTCTAAATCAAACATGGAAGAAAACCCCAGCAACATCAGAGAATTGACACCTTGTCTTTGAAATCAGAAGTGACATGGTTTGAATCAAAAGATCGAGTCAGTTATTCTGCCCAGCAAAAAGATATTGCTCTCTCATGAATTTTACTACCTGAAGGCTAGGTTCAAAGAGTCTAGGTGAGGGGGGGTGGGAAACTAGATGGGTCAGCAGATGTTTGAGTTAAGAGACCAAGGCCATCATTTTTGTGATGACATGTGCGTTTCAGCTGTCCCTGCTATACCTGAGGTAGAGACAAGTAGAATAAATAAAGTTGGCACTGACCTTTGTCTTCTTCTTTTTCTTTTTTAAGGCCCACGGGGAATTTCTCCACTGTTTCTTGGCTCCCTGGCTCCCTTCTTGAGGACAGACCTGGCTGTAGATTTTCCAATGAGCTCTGTGAAACTGAGCCGGCTTTTACAGGTCAGAGTGGCCGCCTGGAGAAGGGAGCAGAAAGGGATTCATTACAACAGGGCTTCTCAGCAGTGGCAACGGCACTGATGTTTAGGATGGGATGATCTATGTTTGTGAGGGTCTTTCCTGTGCCTTGTAGGAGGCCTACCAGCATCCCTGGCTTTCACGCACTAGATCCCAGAAGCGCCCTCTGGCTGTAACAACCCAAAATGTCTCCAGACATTGCCAAATATCCCCTGGGGAGGCAACGTCACCGGCCTCCCCTATCGAGAACCTCTGCCTTGAGAAAACTTGGCTCCTGAGATTTGAGTCTTGGGAATTCCATTTCTACAGAGATGGAGTCTGGAAAAGGGAGTGTTGCCTGGTGGTTAGGAGCCCAGGCCTGCAACGAGGTGGATCGTAACTGAGAACAAGTGTTAAGAGAACACTTTACCACTAGTGCCACCTGGATAGTAGAAGAGCCCATGTATCCTGCTCAAATATTAAAGCTGTCCTCTGGGGAGCATTTAGTTATTTTCAAAACCACATCAACTTCTTTAACTTACTGATACTTAAGACAATACAATTCATTTATTCAACACACACATGTGTTGCCCATCCACTTCAGGCCGGCAGAGTGGAGGGAACACCAGGAACAGATGCCTTCTGCGGGAGGTGGGTGCTCTGGGATACATCTGCAAGGTGAGGCAAAGACCCCCGCAGGTCTCTGTGGATGTGGCTCAGGGATTGAATGTTGCAGCACCGTGAAGCCTTCAGAGAAGAGGTGTCATTTGGGGAGGGTGTGTTTGCTAGCGGTGACCAGGAGAGAGGTCATGCCAGGGTACACTGAGGTGTGGGCTTCTCAGGGCTGCGAGGCTTGACATACATTTAACAAGCATGACCTTATTTGATACATATATAACATTTATGTAATTCCAGAAAATACAGCATTAACTGTCTTTTATGCATACTTTAAGCTTGAAGTTTTGAAGTGTCTTCCCCACCCCCCCACTTTTTTGTTTTGTTTTTGCTGTTAATATTAGACAGGGTAATTTTTGCCAGCATATATTGATTATTATGAAGTACTTTTTGCCTTCCCAGAGGGATTAGTGAGAAATGTTCTTTAGAGTAGGAAGACAGAACCCAAGTTTCTACACTTTGATAAGAGCGCTTTGTTCCTGAGGGGAGGTGAAGGGAGGGTTTCAAGTTTACTTTCAAGTAATTCTCAAAGTGATTGAAAACCCACAACTGAAATAAATTTTATGTCAAAGATTAAAATTTTTATAATTTCAGATCGTACTTGTTCAGGAATACATGTTACTGATGATATTCAGAGAATAACAAGACAGGAAGATCAACTATTGAATTAGAATCTATGCACTTCAACAAATATATGAATCTCAAATATCTCAAAGCAAAAGTGTTCCAGAATGTTGTTGCTTGTTAGAAAAGCGCTCAAGTTAGACCAAGGAAAACAGGTTTGTTCTGAAGACATTTAGCTTAATCATAAAAATAAAGAAAGCATGATGAGTCAAAATCAAACATTCTTCTCGTGTTATGTATATTTTATTCCTGTTATATTGGCTTTATTTTCAAAATTGTAGTTTGCAAAATTAGTTTCCTTTTATTGGTATTCTTAAATATACTATTTATTGAATAGATGAATTATGACTTTAAATAAACGGTGACTTGACAGGTACTAAGTCAAAGCGTGGAGAAGTGAATGGCAACCCACTCCAGTATTCTTGCCTGGAGAATTCCGTGGACAGAGGAGCCTGGCAGGCTACAGTCTATTGGGTCGCAAAGAGTCAAACACGACTGAGCGACTAACACTTTCATTTTCAAGTCAAAGAGGCTTGATCAGGAGATTGGGGTTCATTTGTAAATTATTTTTCAAGTGTCCCTGGGGATCCTGGGGCTCACTGGTCTGGCCTTGGGTGGATGATAGAATGAGGTAGAGGTGTGGTGGGGAGGAATTCTGAGCCCTCTGCTTTGGTCCGTTATACTCTTCATTAGGGTCCTGAGTAAGAATCTCCTTGAAAAGCAGGGTTACTCTGTTTAAGGTACATTCTCTAGGGACTTCCCTGGTGGTCCAGTGATTAAGGCTTTGTGTTCTCAATGTAGGGGACCTGGGCTTGATCCCTCGTCAGGGAACTAGATCCTGCATGTCACAATGAAAGATCCTGCATGCTGCAACTAAGGCCTGGCCCAGCCAAATTAAAAAATATATATATAAATATTTTTTAAAAAATCTTAAAATACATTCTCTAGGTATTGGGGAGGCCCTGGGGGCAGGAGGCAGAGAGGTCACATCCTCACGTGCTCATTGAGGAATGACTTCAGCATCAGGTTATGTGCTAGAGCCAGAACTTGATTTGCGGTAGCCTGAGCCCAGAGTCTTAACCACGACACTGTCCGTGTTGTCACAGACCCAGGAGAGGTGTGTGGGGCAGTTCAGCACTTGCACTCCGGGTCAGAGAGATCAGGGTTGGAGTCCTGACTCTCATTTGTTAACTGCTATTCACCTTGGCACGGATCGTCCTCATCTATAAAAGTCACGGTCTCGTTAGTATGTGGTCATCCTACCAAGAGCAACCGAGTTGTGTCCTGTTTTACAGCCACCCCAGAGGGCCACGCCCTTGTCCAGAGGGAACAACCGTATCACATCTAGTGTGACAATTTCGGGGAATGTCAGTTCCTTTGCTGACAGCCAGCAGGGGCAAGAGCTCTTTTATGCCCCAGTAGGGCTTTACCAGGTACTTCTGAGGGCAGAGTGGTTACATTCAGATGTTCAAATTCTGGCTGTACTATCTACAGACGAACAAGTTCCATGAACTTGTACTACCTACCTTGAACAAGTTCCCTAACCTCGGTGATCTCGTCTGTAAAAGGGCGAATCACACCTGCCTTGCAGGGCCTGCTGCCTGTTAAATGCCATCTCCTGTGTTGAGCAGTCAGCTCAGATCCTGGACACAGCTCCGTGCTACCCCTCGGGCAGGTTTGGGCTGGGAGGTGCTCAGTGATCCCTCCCTAGGTAGATTTCTTGCCAGTCTTCTTTCCCTCCCCCCACTGCCCCCACCCTTTCCTAGCTCTTTCTGAGTGTTTCATTTTCTGGTTAACCCCGGGTTAAGAGCATTCTGCTCTGTCTCGGGCTCCAGGGCAAACATGTGTCCATCTGCTCTGTTGGTGACCAAGCAGAAGCCTGGATCAGGAAGCCGCCTGTGCTGCAGGAAATCCGGCTGGTGAGGCCCCCACCCCTGGGAGGAGACAAAACTTTGCTGCCCTCAGCCTCTCCTCTGCCAACGCCCCATTCCCACCTTGGGTGGGAGTGGCCCTCACCCCAAAGGGCAATGGTGGGAATCTGCTTCCTTAACTTGACCCAAGACCACCACCCCAAGAGCCCAAACTGAAGTCTAAAGACCTCAGTCCCCTTACTCCTGACTCAGCATCTGAGTCCTGGGAGCTCTCCTAGCCTGTTCTCTGCCTTTAATCCTGGCCTTAATCCTGCCTCTTCGTTCTTTGTGTCTATCTCCCTCGAACCCAGTCCTTGCAGGGAGTCAGGTTTATAGCATTCACTTCTGGACACCCTGGTTTTATGTTGTGTTGTGTTAGTTGATCAGTCGTGTCTGACTCTTTGTGATCTCATGGACTGTAGCCCACCAGGCTCCTCTGTCCATGGGATTCTCCAGGCAAGAATACTGGAGTGGGTTGCCACTCCCTTCTCCAGGGGATCTGCCCGACCCAGGGATTGAACCCAGTTCTCCTGCACTGCAGGTAGATTCTTTACTGTCTGAGCCGCCAGGGAAGCCCTGTGGTTTTAGTAAATCCCCATTACTGGGGAGACTTCAATCATCCCTCTGGTTTATTTGCTAGAGGCAGACTGCCTGGATTTCCCCCCAGCTCTGCCACTGAGAAGTTGTATGGTCTTTAACATGTTACTTTATCTTTTGAGCATCAGTTCCCTAATCTGTAAAATGGGAGCGGTCATAGCTCTTATCTCACAGGGTCTTTGTGGAAACTAGCTGACAGTGTGTAAACACACAGCCTCATCCCTAGGACAGGAAACATGCTATAATCACAAGCTATTATTCCATCATTATTTTCAGATGTATGAACTGAGGCATGAAAACATTGTCCCCTTCTTTGGTGTTTGCACAGAATCACCGAACACCTGCATTGTCACCTAATATTGCAAAAAAGGAAGTCTTAAGGCAAGCAAAAGAATCAATCTTACCTCACACTTGATTAGTGACACCCTTATGGCAGAAAGTGAAGAAGAACTAAAGAGCCTCTCGATGAAAGTGAAAGAGGAGAGTGGAAAAGTTGGCTTAAAGCTCAACATTCAGAAAACTAAGATCATGGCATCTGGTCCCATCACTTCATGGCAAGTAGATGGGGAACCAGTGGAAACAGTGGCTGACTTTATTTTTCTGGGTTCCAAAATCACTGCAGATGGTGATTGAAGCCATGAAATTAAAAGATGCTTACTCCTTGGAAGGAAAGTTATGACCAACCTAGACAGCATATTAAAAAGCAGAGACATTACCTTGTCAACAAAGGTCAAGGCTATGGTTTTTCCAGTGGTCATGTATGGATGTGAGAGTTGGACCACAAAAAAGGCTGAGCACCGAAAAACTGATGCTTTTGAACTGTGGTGTTGGAGAAGACTCTTGAGAGTCCCTAGGACTGCAAGGAGATCCAACCAGTCCATCCTAAAGGAGATCAGTCCTGGGTATTCATTTAAAGGACTGATGTTGAAGCTGAAGCTCCAATACTTTGGCCACCTGATGCGAAGAGCTGACTCATTTGAAAAGACCCTGATGCTGGGAGGGATTGGGGGCAGGAGGAGATGGGGATGACAGAGGATGAGATGGTTGGATGGCATCACCGACTCAATGGACGTGGGTTTGGGTAGACTCCTGGAGTTTGTGACGGACAGGGAGGCCTGGCATGCTGCGGTTCATGGGGTCGCAAAGAGTCAGACACGACTGGGTGACAACTGAACTGAACTGAATAAAGAAGCTTATCAGTGCTTTTGCCCCTTCATCCAAGAGCAGTTCTTCTCCAGTCTAATTTCAAGATCTGAATTATCTTGCTGGGCTGCCTGCAGAGGATTAAATTAGCAGCACAGTTGCCAAGCGTCTGGTTTCTCTGTTCTGGGTGGAAATTGTCTGAGCTTGGTTTTGTCTCCTGTGGTGTCATAGCTACTTCTAGACTGTGTTCCTGGGCCCACCCTTCCCGTGGTATGTGACCACCAACTTTAAGTCAGGAACAAGGAAATATTTGTAAAACTCAAGACTGCGTAAATTTCTCAATATTGAATTGGGTTATGGTATCTCCCAGGAAGAGTTCTGGTTACTAGATTTAGAGTTCTCTGCCTCAGGTGTTATCATTTCTGCTTAACATCATCCAATGCATTAGGATCAAATCTACAGGAACTATGAAGCTCCCTGTGCTTCCAGGTGAGTTACTTGTGATGTTTGGAATAATTGTGTTTTTTAGGATGTTTTGGAAAAAGACAATGGCACCCCACTCCAGTACTCTTGCCTGGAAAATCCCGTGGACGGAGGAGCCTGGTAGGCTGTAGTCCATGGGGTCTCTAAGAGTCGGACACAACTGAGCGTCTTCACTTTCACTTTTAACTTTCATGCATTGGAGAAGGAAATGGCAACCCACTCCAGTGTTCTTGCCTGGAGAACCCTAGGGACGGGGGAGCCTGGTGGGCTGCCATCTATGGGGCCGCACAGAGTCAGACACGACTGAAGCGACTTAGCAGCAGCAGCAGCAGGATGTTTTCAGAAACTCAGGCAATGAAATGGATTGGATATTCAAGCTCTCATTTGCATATGACATAGTCAGTGTGAGTATCACATAAACATATGTAAAGAACAAATAGTGTTTGTGAGTTGTTCTGTGTCTTGCATTAACTGTAGTCTTTCTTGAAAATTCTGATCCTCCTCAAATCTCTTCAAACAAAGTAATTCCACTCCTAAAATCCACCTCTTCCATCAGATTTTCCATCCTTTTCACCCTCCCTGATCTCAAGTACATGTCAACAGAGTAGTAAAATATTTTACACTCAAGTTGGAAGGGATACCTAAATATGAACGGAGTATTTACATTTTAGCGTAGAATTTTTTTACCCCAAATAAAATCTAATTACTAGATCATAAAGTGAGTTGGAGAGGGAGATCCTAATAACCCTTCCTTACTCCTAACCTTTGATTCTTTTCTCCAGAAAATGGGGATAACTGCCACAGTCACCATAGAGGTGTTGATCTAAGAGGTGGCCTTAGGCTGCATATCTGAGAAAGTAAACTAGCAGGTGAATCTTTACTTTGGGCAAAGAGGGTTGTGATGAATGCAAAGAAGAGGAGGAGGAATAATAGTAAAAATAGCTAAAATATACTTAGTGCTTACTTTGTTCTCACAACAAAATATAAGGAAGATCTAAAAAAAAAGGTAGATTTATTATCATCCCTATTTCACAGGTGGAAAATGACTTGTGGGACCCATTCTGAGGGTGCTGTCTTCACCCTGGCCTAAAATCCAGATGGTCTTTCTAAGCTCACTGCATCTGCTTTTTCCATTAGAGGGGACCAAGCCAATGACCTGGAAATGGGTCCTGGTGAGGGAGTCACTCACCCTGACACGTGGCTGCAGGACAAGGCTATCTGTCAATGAATCAACATTCCCATCCATCAACTGATAGACTCCTATAGGCAAGACCCTGCCTGAGTGTTGTGGGGGATACATGGGTGAAATATAAACTCTGCTATCCTGGGTTTTTAGGCCAGTGACTCACTGAGTGGCTGTGGCAAGTTACTTCCCTTCTAATGGTAGGAGCGGATCAGTGAGCTTAGAAGCAGCAACTGGATTTTAGCCCAGGGTGAAGAGAGCATTTTCAGAATGCTGGTCCACAGTGTCATAGCCCTCCTGACTCATCTTCCATCTGCAACAGGGATAATGATAGATTTGCCTCATATTCCATTGCAAGGATAAGGTAAATTAATGAACACAAAGTGTTAGAAAGTATCTGAGCCAGAGGAAGTATCAGATATATTTTAGCTATTATTATTATTATTGTTACTCAGCCTCCCTGTAGGTTTCATGGATGAGGTTGACCTGATTGACCTCGAAGGACATTTGTTCCTCAAGAATTTGATTGCTCTTTGTGTCTAAGGAGCTAAGTCTTCATGACCCTGTTAAACTTTGACCTCCCAGGCCTTAGTGGGAAGCCAATGTATTGTTACCAAGTGAGGTAGACAAAGAGAAACCTCCCTGTGATTGGTTTCTGTGGACAACTCTGGGCTACCACTCATACTATTTTAGTAAAACTTCATTGAGTGTCTCTTAAGGATTTGATCTAATCTGTGCATGTTCTTAGGAAGACAAGGACATGTTTTCATCTTTGAATGGCTTAAAATTAAGCTAGAGAAAAGATGAAAAGGTCAGGAATTGTACATAGGAAATTATTTAGATGTAACAGTTTTAAAATAGGAAGCTCTGATGTGGTATCCTCTCCTCTGGGATCTTCTCTTAATCCCCTCCCCTACTTTCCATTCAGTTTAGTTCAGTTCAGTCGTTCAGTCATGTCCGACTCTGCAACCCAATGAATCGCAGCACGCCAGGCCTCCCTGTCCATCACCAACTCCCGGAATTCACTCAAACTCATGTCCATTGAGTTGATGATGCCATCCAGCCATCTCATCCTCTGTTGTCCCCTTCTCCTCCTGCCCCCAATCCCTCCCAGCATCAGGGTCTTTTCCAATGAGTCAATTCTTCGCATGATTGTGGCCAAAGTATTGGAGTTTCAGCTTCAACATCAGTTCTTCCAATGAACACCCAGGACTGATCTTTAGGATGGACTGGTTGGATCTCCTCGCAGTTCAAGGGACTCTTGAGTCTTCTCCGACACCACAGTTCAAAAGCATCAGTTTTTCGGTGCTCAGCCTTTTTTGTGGTCCAACTCTCACATCCATACATGAGTACTTTTAATTACTTTCCCACTAAGCCCAGGGAAGTAGTCTCATCTCATTGCCAGTGACCTGCCTCCCATCCCAATCAAAGCAGTTGGCATCATTTATATTGGATGTAAAGAGAAAGCTAGTAAATTCTCACCATGATGTGAGTGACAAGCCTTTTTGGTGTGGGTGTTTGGTTTTTGAGAATTAACTCAAAGGATGGTCTGGAGAAATGCTGGGGTGAGTGTGAATGACACTTTGAAGGGGACAGTCTCCCT